ATGTTTCATAGATTGACACCTGTAGCTATATCAACACCTGAATCAATCTACAACATCTACATGTTTCCTAGATTGACACCTGTAGCTATATCATTACCCGAATCAATCTACAATACTGACAGTCATCATTACCAGTAGTTATATTGATATACAAGTTGAGTTTTCACCTGTTTTAATGACATCTGTCTCTAACCTGCTTACTTCACCTTCCAATACTTCCACATCTCTCCTATCAACATTCAATTTAGACAATAATTGTTTTTTCTTTTCAAGGAATTGTTCTCTTTGCCTGCAGTGTTCTTTTTTACCATGTCTTATAGGTAAAAGTTAAGGAATTTCAGACATGACTGATCCTAATCAGATGTGCCAATCCTCCACTTTTAGGACATTTTTATTTCTAAAAACAACATTTGGATTTACCAAAGGGGAAGGTAGAATTGAAAACATAACTGCTGACTTATCTAGTCAGGCAGGCGAACAATCTGGACATAGTGAACCAGTTAGCATGTTTGCAGGGTCCATAGCACCAAGAGCCAAATGATTTCCAAGACTTTTCTAGAGCTTTTCTTAAACTTTTTGACCCTTAATTCAAGCCAACAGCATCACCAAAGCTCATCAAAGTTCTGAGGATATGGTAGTTCCCTGGAGAAAACGGGCTGTTCTAAAATGAATTATTTAATTATGAAAAAATGTAAAGACTTTTCAAAGAGGTTTACATTTTTACTGTAATTTAAAGACAACTCAAAGGCTCTCCAGACCTCAACAAATTCAAAGACTTTTAAAGGATTTTCCCAATGCTATAGACCCTGGTTTGTGCAGTGGTTAGCAGTCAATAAGTAGAACAAGCTGCTGTTGGACTTCCAAATTAATCATTCATGTGTGGTTTGGAGTGGAGACATTAGATATTTTGTTTTTATAAATTGTCACTTGTATTTAGTATTTTGTTGATTTTGGGTTAATAAAACATAGCTGTTTGAATACATCAACACTTAAATTGAATATGAATTTTTGAAATATGGTCATCCATATTAACAACTGCTGTTGCTGTTGCTGCTGCTGCTGCTGCTGCATGGTACAACTCACCATACCCCCCACCCCCACCCCACCCGTACTGAGCTGTGCATCATATTGTCAATCTACGAAAGGATACAGCATCAGGTTTCCTTGGACTTTTTGTACTGTTTGTCGAGACTTTACATTGTTGAGTACAAACTTCCAAATGTCCTGCATACTACCACGAGTAATCCTGTAACATTAAAAGAAAAACACAGTAAATTCAAAAATATACCAGTCGGCTGAGATAGCTCCGCTGTTAGCAATGCACATTTCAATTAAAGAACAGAAGATATCATTAGACAAGCAGCCTCTCGGCTGAGATAGCTCCGCTGTTAGCAATGCACATTTCAATTAAAGAACAGAAGATATCATTAGAAAATGAACAATATGTATAGTATCAAAGCAATGGGACTTGCTGTTTTCAACAAGAATTCAAAAATATCATTTTTCACCATAAATGATTGTGGTTTTTAACAAGAAGTCGAAAATATCACTTTTTACCAAAAATGACAAAAATACTGTAGAATACTTTATTTTCACTCAGAATTTATTTTTGCTATTTTTGCTGAAGGGATGATTCCGTGAAAATAAAATCCAGTGAATATACTTTTTTTCCTATATTTCACATTGAACTCATTAAAAATCAGTGAAAATAAATTCCAAGCAAAACGCCCCAAAAGCTTTTTCAGTGAAAATTAATTCCAGCGAAAATAAAGTATTCCACAGTATTCACCAAAATTAGAGAATTGAAGATATCATTACAAAATGAACAAATCTGAGAGAGGTCCACATGTAGTACCTATATATGTAATATCAAAGCAATTGGACTTGCGCTTTTTAACAAGAAGTCTAAAATATCACTTTTTACCAAAAATGACAAAAATATTCACCAAAATTAGAGAATTGAAGATATCAACATGAAATGAACAAACCTAAGAGAGGTCTACCCAAGGTACATATACACCAAGTATCAAAGCATTCAGGCTTGTAGTTTTCAAGAAGAAGTTGAAAAAGTAAAACATTGACACGGACGACGACGACGGATGACGACGGACAATCACTGATATGATAAGCTCCGCTCGACAAAGTCGACAGCGGAGCTAAAAATAACAAATACCTATTTTTTGTTCATTGTATTTAACAGTTGACTTCCTTGCAGTCTGTTATGATTCTGATAAAAATAAATACTGATTGCATAAAACGAGAGATGAGCGCAAATAAGCTGTGACATTCTGCCTTCAGGACAACGTGTTAACCACTGTTTATGTAATTTAAATTTATTTTAAAGATTTTTTATCAGAATCATAACAGTCAGCAAGTCTACAAAAATGTATATTAAAGCAGAAATGGTAGTCTTTTTGAAATGTCGTGGCCCTGGAAAATGCCTTTTGGTTTGTGCTTCCTTGGTTTGTGCTTCCTTAGAAACGATTCAAGCAAATCTTATAGTATATTTTGCAATGTCACGCCGAAGACTGCTAACTTTTTTACCATTTTTCAGCACAGCTATTGCATTTTGTCATAAAAATTATTCTTCTGTCTTTATATATCCATATAGTGAGACATTCCAATCGCAGAAACTTGCTAATGATAACTTGGCCATGATTGATGAGCGTCTAGTCTGATAAGAAAGCAATGTTGACTTGACCTCTATGATGAAACACTAGTAGTGATGTCATTCTTAGCCAATCAGTAAAGCAGATACTTAAAGGTCAAAGATAATTGACAGACTGTAAACAAAAGCATTGTGTGCCAACGTAGCAGAGTCGTTTGCAACAACCCCATTTTTCTTGTCTCTTTATTCTGATTAGATGTGAATTAAAAGTGCCAAGCTGACAGACAGTGAAATCCGTTGATTAAAAGTGCCAAGTCCAAATTAACGACAAAGCTGTAAGGATTTTGTTCGATGGCAACAGTGATGCCGATTTGGACTTTGATGAAGATGGCAATGAACGTACAAATAGAGATCTGAAAAGTATTTTTCAAACAACTATGAACTTTCTTAATTTTTACTGTGGAAATTATTATTGATCTTGTATGAAAGTTGATCCAGTATTTGTCAAAACAGGAAATAATTATACGCAGTTTAACCCTGACATTTTAGTTCATTTTGAGTTCAACAGTATTTGGTGTGTTTGTCGGTGGGAAAATCCTAATTCAAATGATTCCTCACTATCGATTTTTATTAATTCTGGCTTATTTGTCACATTATAAGCAATCAATTATTTTTGTTAAACTTCTAATGTTGCATAGTATTCATTTAATTCCGTTGCATCTTTTCATTTGCCATTTTATTCCATGCTACAGTTTGATATGCGTGTTGTAAATTCTTGGCGCATTTTTGTTGTTTGCAGGGGATGTCCGGGCAAACGCCCACCCCTATTTTTTGGCAATTTTCCATGTTCAGAACCCTGGGCACTTACCCGGACAACTAGGGTATAGAGGATTTTAGGGGTGTGACCAGATACATGCAAGTGGCATAAATATATATGGCAGCAGTCATCAGAAGATACAGTTGGTGGGAGTCACCATTTTGGAGTGTGCATTTCTGCTGTTATCACATCAAAATTACAGGAAACTTTTATGAGTTTTACCAGAGGCAACTGGGATTCTCATTAAGAACCCTATATGCATCCTATGCCAATGTCATGTTTGAAACCGCTTCCAGAACACAAAGATCCCATCCTTTTTATCCTAATGAGGATCCCATTCCAAGATTTCCTGAACAAGGCTTGTTGACTGAACACAGTAATTTACACAAGTGATTAGAGTAACTATGCCCAAAGTAGTATGAATAGAGGGAGGAATAATCATCTTTCTAGACTAGGGTGAGTGATGGGCAAATGATCTCTCCACACCTTAGAAATTAAGGTCTGCACAGGTATATGACGCATACTATCTTGTTTTAAATGTGGACAAAATAAATTGAGCACTTAAAGTGAACTGAAAACTGACTTTGGCTTTGAAAACTACTTACACAATTGTCAAAAATACCCATAATAACAGAAATATCTCACAGAAAGTGTTTATTTTTTTAAAAGAATACCATAGAGAACAAAGAACATTTTCTGCTAACATGTGATCTTCACGCAGGAGAAAGAAAAAAACTTTATCAGTGGTCATCACCCCCCCCCCCCCCCAATATTTATAAAAAAAACAACTAAATATTTTTAAATTATAAAGATGAGAAAACAATCAATATAGCAAAATGTATAGAGAACCGTTTCAAAACCAGAGAAGAAAAACTGAAAACAATAAAGTCAGCTACTTCATGGTAAGGTTATATATATGCATTAGTAAACCAAATATTAAACTTTTTGTATTCCAGCATTCCCATGATGTATCCTTGGGTGGAAAAGATGTATAATAATGTTATTATGAGGATACCAAAAAGTATGCACTCAGATGGTACACAGTTGCATCAACCTCTGCTGCGTGTCGGCCGATACTTCTGCAGTACTGTCTTCGTGCATACTTTTCTGTATCCTCGTAATAGCTTCATATTATCACTATCCTAACTAACAAGTGTTCCCTGTTATCTCATCCCTTCCTGAAATCATTCTTTCCACATCACATCCAGATTTCATCCATCCAATCTGATTCAAAGAAATATGATACTCACCATGATAGCTGTTCCACAGTTGCCATTTTCATTCCTGGGTTTGTATGCAATCCCATCTCTTCTACAGCCCATGTATGCAAATATTGTGCCATCTCAATCGGAGTAGCATTTTTAAAAACGTCATCACACGATACAGACTTCTGTACTTTGTTCTTAGATGTGGCCATGGTTCTGAAGAATACAGATTGTTTTAAATAAGGATATAGACTACACCACATTATGAAGGAAAATAACTCTTAACTAACAGGACAGGCCATGGGGTTCTGTTACAATGTATATACCTAGATATATTAATAATAATTTAGCCCAGTTTGTTTTTAATTATTTAGTTTTTTGTTGGTTCCTTGTATTCTATAACAGTGAAAAGTATAAAGCTGTTAGTAACTTAGTTTATAACTCACTTATTCAAAATGAAGGGCTTGCTGATTGAATATTGAACTAACTCAATAATATTAATTAAAACTCGCAATAATATTGCCATATAAATTCTGAATTGTTCTACCAGTCATTTTGATTTGTATTTATTATGCCTTTCACTGTTTCACTACGTATGATCAGTGAAGTCATTGATGTTGCATACTCATATTGCAACTATCACTCCCCTTAGTATCAGTGGTGGGGAGGGGGCAATACATGGAATGGCAAATGTACTGTTAACAGCTTTGATTTTATAAGTTTTTTTAAAAATTAGTACAGTATATGTCAAGTCTTTTTTTCAGTTCTAGTTTTGTGACCAAGTAATGATACCTGAAGGTGCGACTGCTTCTAAGCAAATATATTGAGTGAGAGTAAAAAATAAGAAAGTGGTGTGAGTAGAAATTGATGTCAACAAAGCGGCTGGGGACGAGGTCTCTCAATTGAACTAAAACATGATTATGTACATCGACTGGGGAACCGGGCACAACTCGCTAAACCTTCGGTGAAAATGATCTTGGGATACGGGCCTCCAACACCAACCACTTCTAGCACAAGCACAGGGGGGGTGGGGGCCAACCCACTCTGGTCTGGGGTTGATTCACGGTTCCGGACGACAACACTGAGATCAAATTTGAGAAATAACAAAGATTGAGGACGACCGCAACGTTGTGGTGCAAATAAACGGACATCTATACTATTGTTCAAATGTCACCCGGTGTGAATTACTACTCTACGCACACTGAAATTAACAATAAATACTTACCAAAACAACGAAATATTAAAACAAATCAGTGAATTTCGACGTCCATTCAAGTTTAGCGCCATATATGTGTTTGTTGATTCGCTTCTCCAACGACCGTGTCAGCAAAATGCAGGTCCGATCAAAGTGCGCCCCCTAATGGTCAATATGCTGACAGTTTGTCTGGTTAGTCACTGAATCGGAATTTCCTGTCAAGCATTACAAACGACGACGTCACGAAATGGGAGGAGTTTGGCCATTTGGACGAAACAATGAAACTACCATATCGGGAGTAACTAGTACCAAGGGCAAACGATGAGATCATTTTCGACCGGGCCGAAAAATTCAGACAGTAAAACCAGACTGTCTACTGACCCCGTCTCATGGAGTTCCTTGGCTGAAAAGACCAAGTGGTGTTTGTTCATCTGCTTTCAGTTTAATAGTCGTGGGAACGCAAAAATGATTAAACCAAATTTTATTAAACAATATCACGCGTAAAGTAGAAAGCGGGGTCCGAGTTCTTGTTTCGTATTGTAAAAGTATTGGTTTGTTTCTGGCCTTCTCGACCAAAGTTCACTCGCGTTACCCAAGTCAAGTGCACATACAAGAGTTCACTGGTATCGATGTCTCGGAAAACCAAACACGACAAACTCGGTTTGTTCAGTATTTTGGAATTAGTCTAAGTCAATTTAATTTAATTTAATTTCTCGGCGTGTGTAAGCTTAACGTTTCAATTAACCACAGCAACCCACTGATGTTAACTGATTGTGGTCGGATCGCACTGACGATTAACTGTAAAAAGTGTTTTCATTTTGTTACTTACGTCGTACTCTTTAAATGTATTAACACTGATATATACAACTGGGTATCAATATGTCAATTAACCCACTTGCCGGAATACTTGTTGGCAAACTTTGACACGTAGACCGACCGTGCATATATTCCACCTGAAACAGTTACTATATGTTCCCAGATTTAGAGAAAGATATCAACCATTGACCACAAAAAGACCACACGAAGCCTGGTCTTTACCGCAAACCCTCCAATATCGTAGCGGGATTACGTCAAAAATCTTCCCTTTTCAGCCTGAGTGACCCGTTTTATTTTTTTAATTGTTGCTTTGCTACAATTAGGAGAGATCTGGTAGTTCTATCTGTTATTAGAATCGAGAACGCTGCAGTCAAGTTCAAATCGACACGCCGTGATGCAAACATCTATCTTTCTGGAGAATAGGGTGTATAACACAATGCTATGTTTGCTGGCATATTCTACTTTTTTCTTTAACATTAACTTACTTTAGTATATTTTTAGCAATCATAGACTTTGAAGTATGGAGTAATATACTTGTTTGAACCATAGACCTTAGAAAACATGTTTTCTAAGGTCTATGTTTGAACACTTGTTTTACCATAAACGTTGGTCTGCTTATTTGACAGTAATGTTGAAGACCAGTTTGTCACAATTCAATTCGTCCCTTTCTGGAAAGTATTTCCAAATATTACGTGACTCTCGTGAACTACTAAATATGATAGTTTTTTACAATTTATCGAAAAATATAATTTGCACTCTACATATGTGGTTGGGTTTGCAGATCGAATGCTCCAGTTGGTTTAATGCTGAAGAGGATATGGTAATCAATCAGTTTGAAACAGGACACGTCTCATAAATTGACAACGTCATTTGTAATAATTGCAAACCCCGTAAGAAATAAATTGACAATGGCATTTATCGGGCAATTAAAGATTACAGTAACGGGTTCTTATCTCTCGTTTTCAGATGGTGTAAAATGTCATCATCGTGCGCGAAATGTTATCGCAATACAACATTGGTGAGAGTAGAGACTTCATCTAGATCGCACTACGGGTTGTTAAAAGAGGCCAGCAGACAAAAATATCGCGATATCTGGCTAGGTCAGCAGACACGTTGTCTCGACATAAGAATGGCAGCCAATACCAAAAATAATCGCATTCCGCCCACGCCTCAGACAGCGGAGTGACTGCTAGCTTGTTTACGGAGGTCAGCGTACTGGACACCGCTCACTGGACACGGCTACGGTTACCAATATATTATCGGGACAATCGATGTTTTTAAACCATCCACGCTAATCCACCCAAGTATATTTTTAAATCAAAAGAAGAAGAAAATGTTAAACAAACTAAGTTGCTGTCATCAACTTCCGTATTTTTGTTACAACAAGCCCTTTCACCAAACCAAAATTTACTTCGTAGAACCACATCTCCAATTGATAATTACATTGTCATTAGCATTACACTATGACACACGACTTGCACGTCCTACACCGCCGCATATTCCACAGTTTTCTCGATAAGACCATACACAATCGGTGGAAATCGGTGTCAAATTTGTGAAATTGAGTGTGATGATACGGTGTTATATCAAAACAACGCGTCAAAATTCGCACACTTCCAGTGTTCCGAATCTAGCCTAGCCTGGCCTTCGCTTCGTAGTCCCCCCCCCCCAACCACAACCTAATGGTTCCTACACATACACTCAGGCAGTCACATCGAAACCCAATAGTGGTTCAATAAATTCCAATATCTGATATAAAATTGGCAATAATTCGTGTTAGGCTCAGGAGTATTTCGTGATATGTTAGACACTAAATAATAATTAAATGAAAAATAAAGCAAGTGTTTGATTTTTGGTATGCATGAATGTTAAGATTTCTGCTCGAAGGCATAAACATGTTATTCAACAAAATAAAATAAAACTACCACTGGGTCGTATAAACACTTGACAAAATCGTTCCAAATATCCGGAAAAATATATGTACTCGCCAACCATGGTTTCTGACAAGGTGACAAGGGCATCCCGAAGTTTAAAATAACCGCAATTTAGAGGATAACGCTATTGGGGAGATATGTTGAAAACATTCCGAAAACTTATTTATTTTTGAAAAATTTGGTAGAATTTGTAAATTACTCGGTGGCGACGCCGGGGGGGGGGCAAAGGGGGAGCCCCTCGAAAAAAATGTTGGTAACGTCGCCCCTCCAAAATCAAGCTTTTGTGTCAGCAAAATTTGCCCCTCAAAATGCCGGAAATAGCGTTTCAGAGGGAATAGATTTCAACATTTTTTAGGAGAATCATGCCCGGGCGCCATAGTAAGGTCGCGAGGTTGGCGAGCAGATCTCACCCCCCCCCCCCATGCAAATTTCGTGCCGCTACCTCCGTTTCTAAATAATTAAGAACGGTCAGGTTCAAAAAAGGTTCACATATTTTGTATGTATGTACTATGATTATCTCTATATTTTCGTAACATGCGTATTGGCCTACACATGGCGAGCATATGTTAATATGCAGCACGTAAATTCTACAATCATACACATTTTCGAAAACAAATTACGTACATGACAAAATATGCACTTAATGACATTTAACTTGCTTATAACAAAGGGACGGATAATCAGCATGTAACAAATAGTTGGTCAGTCCATACTACATAAATTGAATAAATAAATACGGGAATTCCCGGGTTTGGTAATGCTACAGGTGAGTTGGTATGAAACTGATCTAGAATGGGAGTTAGAAAAGTCAGTTTTCGTTTTGGTTGGAGACATTGGTTTTAAAAGCGACTGATATCAGCACATTGAGTTGTAAGTTACGTAGAATGCGTATTGTAGTTGTCCCTCTAATTTGAATGCTGCTAAAGATTAAAACTTAAAGCGGGAGTGTCGTCACCTGCGCACGCGCGGGAATTGAGTCCCAAGCGACGATAACAACACACGCTAAAAACGCAAATGCTCATGGGTAGAAGTTTGTTTGTAAACAATGACACACTATGGCCATCTGACGCATGCGTAGGTGACGACTCCCCCACTTTAAGTATCCATCGATAAATAAATAGAAACTGAGATAACCATAGTAACCATAGACCAAAGTCAGTAACAATTCAGTATTGAAATTCGAATCAAAAGTTACAATTTCTTAACGCTTTCGTCAGATCACACAACAACTGTTTTCATGGAAACACCATTTTGTATGTTTGGTTACTACTTGACATTCCACATTGTTTCAATATTGAGTTTACA